ATGGCCATATATTTCGAGCTTAATTGGCTGGGTAAGTGTTTGGTCAATTGAGGTTGACTGAAATAGTAATGTCATTGTTTCTAGTGCTACTTTCTGGCATGGTCATTTAGTTTTTACCCGCAAGCTATTTTAAATTGGAGGAGAAAAAGGTAAATGACCAGTCTTTACCGGAACAAAACTTTGACTGAACATAAACAATAGTGTGCAAGGACTTTCGATGGATTTTTTATATTATAATGTAGTTGGATTTTTTTGTTATTCGGTAAAGCAAAACAATGAAAATGGGATTTAAGAAAACTTATGCCACTTTATAGATATTCAATTTATCGTTTTATTTCAGTAAAGAGATCCAAGATGAATGTAATTTTGACGAGGGATACTCTTTGTGCGAGTGTATATATTAATCTAATATCAAATTAGATAAGCAACGGAACAATTCAAAGGAAAACCTGGTTCGAGCAAATGATGTCATGTTTTCCGTGCATGCTTTTCTCATATCGTTGTTCACATTAATTCAGACCTTTTATTATAAGGTATTAAACTGACATCAGATATTTTTAAATAATGAAATTAAGATCTTTTTAGAAAGATTACTTGCAGCATGTGTCCAGAATCGCACAATACCTAATTTGGACAGCAATCGTTGGTGCAGCTGGTATGCTGTTTACTATATACACGGGGCATTCTATGTGGATTGATTTGATGTACTATCTCAGTTATGTCAAGTTAATGATAAGTTTGGTCAAATATGTACCCCAGGTAAAGCGCTACACTATATATTTAAAATTAGTAATTAATAATTTTTTAAAGGTTTGGATCAACTTCTATCGTAAATCAACTGTGGGTTGGAGCATACACAACATCTTATTGGTAATCACTATCAACATATTCTTTTTTGTAGTATACTAAATCCATACATAGGATTGTACCGGTGGGGTTCTATCAAATATACAATTGCTGCTTGATTCGTACCTTAGTGGGGACTGGAGTGGCGTATCGGGAAATCCTGTAAAACTGTATGTGAAGCTCATCATTAATACACAACATGCTTCTAATAGTCATATCGTAGTGGATTAGGTTTACAATCAATTGCATTCGATTTAGTATTTATTTTACAGCATTATGTCTTTTATAGAGATCGCACAGATATATACTTGCATACAGTAGATGAAGAAAGAAGAAGGCTTATAGCTGAAGGTCGTGTACCTAGGGCAGAAGATGAGGAAAGCCGTAACTTTTTGTAAAGTTGTTTGGAGCATCAACTTTAATAAAATTGGGATTCCGCGTTTATTAAATGAAAGAGTGAAATTAAAAAGAGGCAGTGACTTTGTTAGCGGTTGCTTCCAGAAATTTTCAAATGTTAAGTGAAAGCATGATTCTTTGTTCTTTCATTTTTGGAGTTAACATATTATCAGATTGAGTACCCTTTTGTAATTATAACTTTTTTGTATCAACGTTTTAGCCTACCAGTCCTATAAGAGTAAAGGTTATTTGATGAACAGCTAATCATAAGGAATAATCACAACTGACAATTAAAATGCTAAAGATGCCTAATTAGTAGTAATTTTTATTTTGTTATCTAAATGTTGTTCTAGACAGGTTCTATGGGACAAAAATATAATTATGAGTAACCATCGAACACATCATTTTCGGTGTGTCTTAAATGCGATTGAAACTTAAGGTCTTAACCCTTTATTTTCCTTCTTGTTCTTTTGTTGATCTAATTGGGGAGTGTTGTTTAAAAACTGACAGCCATATTAAAATCAATGTGCACTTTGCTCTTCAATTCTCCGGAACTCAGAGCCAAGTTGGATTGTTAAATTACCTTAACTGGGTTATAAGCAATGTCACTTTATTGTGATAAAAGTGCTACTATCATTTAATTTGACTGGGCGAAGGTGGCGTTCGATGAGTCCGCAATCCAAGCCCACTTCGAGTATTTATTAACCTACGCCTCCAAATAAAAAGACCTTCGACCCTCGTTCAAAATATTCGTTCTTTTGACGATCTATCTGGCAGCATTGAGCGGTTTCTAGGTCGGTCATTACATCAAAGTGAGCCCATAAGTTACCTTTTGTTCTGGTTTTGACTTCGTTTGATGACATTTTGGACGAGGTGGCTGCGCCCTATTTTTGGTAAAGGACATGTATTATTCAAATTCCGGTAACTTTTAATTTCTAAAACCGCCATATGTTTTATCAGTTACCTTTGTTCTTGTTTAAAATGTCATTATTTTCAGATTTCAAACGATGGGTTACAGTATGGGCATTGACTTTTGCCTTTTCTTTTCCCAAAGCTAGCACTCCCCGTAGGGTTATTTATTTTCTTCGATTATTCTTATTTCAAGGAAGAAGAGACTGGATTCATAAAGATGAGACTCACGGTTATTGGATCGCCGAAGATTTAAAAAAGAATGCCAAAAGAGAGGCAATTCAAGACAGGATCTCGGAGGCAAACATTATTATTTTATGGGTTCCAGGTACTAGTAATAGAAAATAACTTGTGTACATGAATTAACGTGATAAATAGGTGGTGGTTTCCGTTTTGATTTGGGTCAATTATATACATCTACTTTCGCCACATGGATGCGTGCACTAGACGCAGATAAAAACATCAAGAGCATGGTATTTGTTGCAGATTATAGTAAGTGTGTATTTATCTGGTGATCGCAATTTTTTTTTTTTTTTTTTTTACTTACCTGATACGATATAGAGCATGGACCCGATAATTTGTTTCCCGCTGCTATTAAAGATGTCGGTGATACTTATCACTGGCTGACAGAAACACTTAATATTGACCCAAAGAAAATTATTATTGGCGGAGACGATGCTGGTGTTGCTATTGCATTGGATACATTACTAAACAAGATTGATCCTTCAAAAAAGCCTGCTGGTATGATCTGTGCATCACCTTATACAGGACTAGAGGCTGGCGGAGAATCTTGGAGAACGAATTTAGGATTGGATATACTTAATGAGAACTCGATTACTCGTATGGAGAACGCCTACATGGGAATTGAGTCTGAAGATGAAGTTATTGAATACGAGGGTGGCTTATCTCCTTTTGCTTATTTAAGAGATTCTGTGGATTTAGGCAGCCTTTTACCCAGCCGTATGCTTGTTTATTTGGGTGGTAAAGAGGTCTTATTAGAGGAAGGTGGTTTATTAGCTAATAGAGCAGCAAGATCTGGTGTACAAGTGATGGTTGTGCAAGAGCCCTCCGGCATTCACCTATGGTCTATGCTTCCAGATATTTTTATTAAGCAAGATGATGTTAAACAATATGCCGTCGATAGATTTGTAGATTTTGTCGCTGGAACAATCAAAAAATAATCATATTTATTTTTTAAAAAGTTACGACCATTGTTTCAGAAATAAATAACGTCTATTTTTATTGTTATGATAAATGACGTTTACCCTTATTTTGAGGAGGGTTATAAAGCCTAAGAGCTTCATACTGTTCTGTATCGAAAAGCACGAAGTCGACATGAGGCTGTAATTTGTCAGAAAATATATTCCAATGACTTAAATTAAGCCACTAGAATATTTTGCCCTTTTTCTTTTTGTACACAAACATGGCTGTAACAAGTTTTTCTCAAAAGTTAACTCCTTTCGAAGGAATTCCTCTTGTGAGAAAAAAACCTGTTTTTGAAAGCTCAGACTTTAACCAAGTAGAATTTGACTAATAACAAAAATGCGCTATTACAGTTGAAGTTGTATTTTGTATAATACGCATAAATTATGCAGAAATGTAAAGTATTAACGAGGATAAGTTGATTGAACACTTTTATGTTTAGTCTGTTCCAAAAGACCTTGATTAAGCTCAGCAATAAAAACTCTGCCAAATGATTCTCTCTAAGTACTCCAGGAACTCATATGGCATAATACAAATTACACCAAATACTTTACACAGCTTTGCTACCAAGGTTTTTTTTTCTTTGTTTTTTTTTCACTGACTGCTCCAAAAATTAAAAATTCGTTCGTATTGATATTATAACATAGATTACCGCATATTAGTTATCACATCAGACATGAACAAAGTCCAAAAATTAATGACACTGTATATCTTGCTTTCCCCTCAAAAATTCAACATATTTTAGAGTGGTGACTACTTCCCATTTGTCCGTCCGGAGGAATATTTACCCTTTTTTTTTTCTAACCTTCCCGTCAGATTTTTTAAAGGAACTTCCTTGTCCTTCGTTAATAGATCTAGAAATGTTGCGTCAATGCTTAAAACATTTACAGGCTAATTTACCTGCTAAACAGACACTGGTACCTGCTTCAAAATCAGTTACTAAGACAAGAGCCTTTCCTGTCCTTTACCGTGAGGCCTCCACCTACAACAATAGTAGATCCGTTGAAATTCAGGAGGAACCTCGAACTTACAATCGTCGTTATGTCCAAGTGGACACACCATTTGCTCTGGCAAACAAGTACACTTACGTTATGCCTGACGATGCTTATGTTGCTTCGGACAGAGTCACAAAAATTCTTGACATTGGAACTGTAGACGATGCTGCGGATTACATAAAAGCTTTACCCATTGGTTTACAATCACCAATTGTTTGGAATCAATTGATCGGATACTGTGCGAAGCACGGTCGAGCCAATTATGCGGAACACTTTTTTTCACAGGTATGCATAGTAAAAGTTATACGTTACCTTACACTGACAGCGATCAAAATAGATGAGAAAACGTGGATTGGAACCTAACGAACGAACATTCACTCACATGTTAACAGCATTTGGAAAAAGTACCTCACCACAGGCAGTAAAGAATGCTGAGGCTTGGATTAAGCGTATTAATGATTTTGATCTTAAACCGTCGACAATCCATATGAATAATTTGATGCGAGTATATGTTAATGCAGAACAACCCGAAAAGGCAATCGAGGCATTAAAGCAAATGTCTACTAGTGAACTTGTGCCAGACGCTGTAACGTATTCTATTGCACTTCAAGGCTGTGCTGATTTGAATCAACTGGATCGCGCAGAGGAAGTGAGATATATTTGGCATGAAATTATCTATCGTATGGAAAGGAACCAAAGATCTCCATCAGGTACATCTGCTTTATCAAAAAAGGCTTCCGAGATCATTTGGAAAGAAGATAAGCTTCGTAAAAATGCGAAGGATACAGAATTAGAAATTGACGATTCTTTGGTGGTATCCTTGTTAAGTGCTGTCACACGAACTGCCGCGAATCAAAAGGACGTTCTGATAGGTATCGAAGCGTTAGATAGGCTGTATTCATTGTGTCCTCCTAGCGCTGCTAAAATGATGGACAAAAACCACATGCAGCGTAAACCCGGTTTCGGCTTCCAACCTTCGGTGAAAGTCTTAGATGCCATTTTGAGATTCTCAGGTGGACTTCGAGAGTATCAGTTAGGACAAGAATACTTTCATTTGGCGCTCCAACAATTTCCTAGATTGGAACCTGATAAATTCGTTTATGATGCTCATGCTTGGATCGAAAAGCAATTAAAGAGAAGAGCCAACTTTGAAAAGAAACGTCAATATCAATCAAATAGAGAGAGACAGTAAACATTGTAAATAAATCATTTCACTTCTAATATTATGTGATTAAACACTTTCTCCGCCTGACCTAAATGTCACCTGTTCGGTTGCAATAATACTCAGCCATACCCATACTTATGTAGCATTTAACTACACGGAAAGTTTTAGCCTTAATAATAATATTAACCAAACAATAATCCTTTGCATTTAATAGCATTATTCTGTTTGGTCTAGTATAATAAAATTTAGTTTTGATAACTCAAAGATGTATTAGACAAAATTGATAGTGACGTACCTAGGGGCATTTCTTTTATGTGAGTGTCTCCCTGCTGTAGCATAGTAGATTATTGACAGGATAAAAATGAATAAAAGATGGATAGGATGAAAGAATGTGATCGATTAAAATATGCTGTTAAATAAAACTACTATAAGCAACGTACCATTAAAAAACTGTGATGCCTTCTGCAACATCATCTTAGAGAGCAAAGAAAGTAAGCCCAATGCATCAGGAAAAAAACTTGTACATCATCTTTGAAAAAAAATGCAATTAAATCATGTTCGACTGTATACCACAATAATATTAAATTTCAAGTTTTTTATTTTATAAGTGAAGAATTTTAGCAAATGTGTTAAATTGCTTGACGAACAACAAAAAGGAGGATGGTCAAAACTGATAAAAAAGACATTATAAAATTAGGCTCCATTGCAAGTGAACCACTATCTGTTAAACCACTATCTGTTAAACCACTATCTGTTGAACCGGGAGCTGATGTTACTTTAGTCGCACCTATGCTAGATTGTATGGTACCAGATGAAAAGGATCGCGGGGTAGTAGTTGGATTACTAACACTTGTAGAATATGTAGGAGTGTTATAGTTGTAAGAGTAGCTATAAGTAGGCGTAGGATAGTTATAGGTAAAAGATGGAAAATCAATGACAGGGGGAGCAAGTGTACCAAGAGGATAATAGCAGTTTACGGCGCAAGACATGCCAGTGGTGTCATAAAGGTCTTGTAGGTATGATTGAGATACGACATCGATGCAATTTAGTTTTCCGCTAGAAGTAAGGTACGATGGCAAAAGTTTACACGATCCATCCAGGTTAGCTAATGTTTGGCAAAACAATTGATATTTGTTGGGACCAACAGTAGTATTTCTACAAGTGTCCACTAACTTGAGCATGTCTCCTGTGGTAATATCAGCCTTGCTAATAACAAATTCAGGCATTGCGTTCTTTTTTCTTTTTAGTATAACTAGCAAGTAACTATCATGTAAAAACTGACCTTATATGAGATTGAAAGTATCAAAAAGAAAAATTGATTTGATCTAATTTTATATGACAAACGTAAAAAAAAAAAAAAAAGTTGGTTTACTGATAGACACAAACCTATTTTGAGTGGAATTTCCTTTGCTTCTCTTCGAGTTAGGCTATTTTAAATGGGTCACTATATCTGTAACGTTACTTTTTAATTATTTTTCTTGTGCAATCTGGCCGGTTTTTTGTGAAACAAATGCGGTGTCCGCAGTAGTTAGTATCAATGTTCATGATGATACTCATCAAATTATACTGCACGATACATATCTTCATTGAAGCGTCACAAATTTGATATCGGGTCACATAAATATATTATACAATAAGAGGGGTTAATCTTGCCTGCTATACAAAATTCACTAATTGTTGCAAAATTTCAAATATGGTCATAGTTGGTGTATCTGTGCATCTGTTTTATTATAAAAATGATAACACCAGGTAAGCCCCTAAAGTTTGGTTGCACATATTGTTGAAGCTGACTTGCAAATGACCATTAAATCAATAATATGTCAA